CTAGTTTTGAGCTCCATGACCCGACCCCAATGGTGGGCACATGATATCAAGCGGCTCAATAACATCTCTTCTAGTGCGTCGTGTGGTTCCTTCCTGTCTTTTTCAGAGCTCAGGTTCTCCACTTCCAATATATAACTTTTGATCATCATTAACTATGCGATCCACCTACAATCGTGTTTGTCACACTAAAACTTGTCATAAAACCTTTCATAAAACTTCTTCCCGTACCCAGTATCACGACTGAACATGTACCTTTTGGATGGCAAATCAAATTAGACACAATAATCAAAACTACGGACCACATTAATATGACGTAGGTATTCGACCTTAATTGACCAATAATTTCGTTATCCAGGGTTAGAGTACGAAATACCAGTCATGCTACGTTTTTATCAGCACCGACGGCTTCCAGTAACAGCCGTTTGAAGTTGGTCTGATCATTATGGGTTCGTGTGCTTTATTTGGATGTTGCATCACCGAACGACGAATACAATCGATAGCGTTTAATTTACACAACAATTCGATAATTTAATTTTTTAACCGTTACACGTTATATTAAGGTTGCATTAGAGTTCGAAATTCTATCCTCTACGGTTTTGTGCGGATTCCTATCAGCCAGTCCGCTTTCTGTTTTTAATATCACTATTTCAAGCTGCTTTGAAGGTGTCCGTCAATACGTACAGTGCCGATTTTGCTATCGATGAGCCATCGAACTTCTATTATTCATTAGCAAACTTCCAGTTCACCGTGCAACAGATGCACAATAATCAATCTACATAACTCTCGGAACGTTGTCGAACAAAAATCTGCTGATGGTATTTCCTATCGCAGTACTATTCAAGCAACTCAGTCATCATCATCATCATCATCATCATCATCATCGCACGTACCGTTCGATACTCACAACAGATACCGTTGCGTTGTCTCCCTTACTTAGTGTTCTTGTAACTCTTTGTTTGGAATTGTTCATTTTGCCGTTTTCCCAGCGTGAGTCGGAACGTCGAGAAGCAAAGGCACGTTCCGATGCATCTCGCAAGGAGGCTGGCGCGAAACCTCCGAGTGAAATGTTTCTGAATCAATTGGAAAAATATTCCCGGTTTGATGATAAGGTAAGGTATCACCGCTAGGCGCTCAGTTTTCATTGATATTGCCTCAAGTTTTTTCCATTTAAATATCGGTGATTGGTCTAGAACCATGCTTCTAGATGTTTTAACTTTCACCGTGCAAGTCAAATTAAGTAGCGTTCCCTGTATTACTGCTCTTGCTTCTTATTCATGTTGGAAAACATGTTTCCTGTTCATCTTCATCAGATCGCAGTGCTGGCTGCATGTTGTGTAGACATTCAATGACTTGAATGCCTCTGTTTTTTGTTTCATCGGAGGAAAATCGCCAATGCAAGTTGTCATGTGGCTACTTATACTAATTCCAAGGGTGTGCTTGGGGCTCCTACCTTCCTTAATAGTAATATTGGATTGATACCTGGAATTGCACCACGTACTGCAAACTCAGTTGCCTTCGGGCTTCGTATGGTGCCGAAAATTGTCGTGGGTTCTCTCACATCGCATGAATATACAGTTGTTTCATACATGACTACTGCTTATTTGGCGGTAGATAGGTTTGCTGTTGTCTGACTCCGCATCAAGCCTATCCCAATGGGGTCTTATGTGGTTTCTTTCAAAGCTTAGACTACTAGTTCTCGAAAGATGAATATTGGGTTCTCCTTACTCAAAGCTTCTGCTGTTCGTCACATAATAGTGTATAATAAAAATGGTAGTTACAATTTTTCATCTGCATGAAAACCCTAAAATGTTAGAGTTGTGTTAGATATTTCCTTTTGTATCTTTTTTATTTTGTTGAGCGTTAGTTAATGCATTGACTTCCCAACTTGAACATCATTTCAGGGTATACCAACTCATGACGCATCTGGAAAGGAAATCGCCAAGAGTCAACTGAAAAAGTTACAGAAGCTGTATGATGTACAAAGCAAACGATACGCTGCTTACCTCAAACTAAAAGAGAAGAGGGAGTTGTAGACACTATGTGTACGTGAAACCTCGTCTTTCCCCACCCTCCCTCATTGTATTCTGTTGCCACTGAGATTACTTTACCAGTATTGTTACCATTGTCTTGTAATTCTCTCTTTTTTTGTTCAATGTGTAACGCGTATTTTATGGTGCCCGATGTTTTCTGGATGTGCGGAACTGTATACATACTCGGTCGATGGTCTAATCGGTCTTATTTTCCGGTTTTGCTTGTGTGTAATAGTCGCGCGTTGTTGACACTTTCAACGAGATACCTTTCAGATTTAATAAAAAATTCTTCGTCTCTCTCAGTGATTCATGAGATCCTTTTCCGAAAAATTACTGCCGTTTTACGTCTGACAGGTAATTGAAGATCTATTTCACAATGCGGTATTCTGACGAAACATCATAAGTTGTCTTTGCTCCTGGTTAGTTATGATAGCTCTGAGTCTGTAATCAGCGATCGTAATTTCAATAATACTTTGTAATTACCGTGACTAATTCAAAGACTGGATAGATTCATCTCCACATTCCCATTCCCAGCTCCAATCTATGGTTAAGCAGTTCATTGTATTATACTATTTGCTTGTGATTATTTCTCCGTGAGTTAGTAGATTGTTGACATGCATGTGCGAATAGATAGCACTTGACATATTACCACTTAAAATCCGTTTTCTGGGTGGATTCCGGACTGGTCCTCATAGGTAAGTCATTCAACCTCATTCAAGTAATGAACAAATACTTCCAAGAAAGAAACGTTCAGTTTAGTGCCGACAGTACGGCATGGTTATCAACCTTTGTTAAACAACATCGTCACGCAGATCATTTTATGAGTATTGATTGTTTGCTTGTAGTTGAAACAAGTTATCATCCTAGAGTATACGGTGCTCTTGTTGCCGTGATGTTCTCTGAGATATTATGTGATCAATCGCAAATACGGTTGAACAACCAAAGGATCGAACACGCCCTAGCCGGAACCGTTTTTGATGACACCGTTCTCGTATGAATCTGATTCGGTAAACTGGGTCAACTCTCAGCTGTCCATTTTCACCCGTTGCCGTTTCTCACTATGAGGAGGAGCCCAATAACTCAAATATTTCTTGTAACTGGTTTATGGCTATAATACATGTTACACAGACACACCAGAAATGGGTAGATACGGTAGATAGTGCATACGATTTTGCAGACAGCAATGCAACTGTATGTTTGTTGCATCCCTCTGAGGTTCCGGCTTCCTATCCGAAGGTTCGCGGTCAGAGTCCTGTTGTGGCACGAACTTTGTCTGTTATCGCAGGAAATTCAGTTGGAAAGAAAAGCAGAAATCCCCTATCCTCCCGTGATTTCTCCTTCAGATTTATACTTCATCCTGTTGGTAGCAGCTCTTGAAGCGGGTTATGCTATTGGTCTTTACCGAATGGTCTATCGAACATAAATTTTTCGTTAACAATACAGGGTAGACCGGTGCGTTTTCCAAGGAGTGGAAAATTATCCATATATTTTTTTCGTCTATTCTATTTCGGGCCCATTTACGGAAAGTTTTCAGTGCGCTGTAAAACCTTCATTAAGAAGTCCAAAGAATAAGTTAGTAACAGATTTTGTTTTGTATGTTCCGTTAGTTTGGGAACCGCTCAGAACCAGGCGGACAACTTTGACTTCTGTTTGTTGACGGAGCTGTTTAATCTAACTGCATTGCGGAAGCAGTCGGCCTTTTTCTTGTTCACACTCAGTCTATATACACAAAAAGGATTGACCCGCGCAATTCAACTGTTATGGTCGAAGGTCGGTTGCACAGGTGACGTATCACAGCCTGTATACAATGTTGTGATGACCTAGTGGTGTGAAACACGTCGTACCACTCACCCCATATCCCTCTTCCAACCAATCACTGTGATCTTTGATGATCTGAATGTTTAACCCCTTTTAACATGACGACCTTTTGTATGATCGGTTCAGGCTAAAATACGGATCACTGAAAGTAATTGTTCACCTCTGAACGAGTGTTTTCACAATTACTCACTTGTCGGTTGGAATGGAAATAAGTGTCGGGGATTTGCTGTTTTCGGCTTGTAATTCTCCATGGTAGCAAGTTGCAGATCCAGTAATCTACTCAGAGGTACTTGGTGTCGATCTTACCTTACTATGGTGACTGCATAAGGGGCTAGCTTCTTTCTAGTGCAACCCACTGATAGTTGATATAACCAATGCGTAACGTGATACTGCTGAGGCAAAAGCGCAATGCGGTATCTCTCGTCTCTTCACTAATGCTTTAATTGCTTGCGTTTCGGCCAAAACTTAACTATCTGGGCGTTGCTGTGGGTACCTTGATCTTGAGAAGATGTTCAATGGC